AAGAGATAATTCGTCTTGTCCTCGTTAACAACCGGATCCATTCGCTTCGCTTCTTTATCAAGCCTAGAGAAAGCAGAACTAACGGCGCGGTTGTTAGGGCCGATAATGTTACCCTGTTCGAAACCTCGTTTGGTACCGAACGGCTCGGAGAGATCTTTCCCAATTCTGACTGCGCTTCTGGTGTTGTTTAGCGTCAGTTTGTACAGCCGGATACCAAATTCAGACATGTCATATAGCCAACTCTGTGCTGTCGAAGGCGGATTTAAAATCGATCTTTTCACGGGTCTTTTCCCAGATTTGGCGCATGGTGAATATCTGGTCAATGGTTGATTTACCCGGTCTGAAGCCACAATGATAATGTGGTGAAACGAGAGGCAGGCATAGTTCAAAGCTCCCATTGTGTCGAAAAGAAAATTTGAAGAAAGGTTTTGAAAACGCACAAGCTCTCTGCTCTACTCTTCTTATGCGTAAACCACTTTCTCAAAATTTGCATGCTTACAAATGGAAAATTAAATGGCTTTTAAGCAAACAAAGCATAATTTGTAAAATACTTTGGATAATCAATTTAATTCCATTAACTTAAAAATTTCTTCTTAAATTCTATTGATGTACAAAACATTTCGCAAGAAATCGTCCATAAAGAGGGTGGTTAGCCACCTAATCAGGGACGGAGGTGAGAACAAAGTCACGCAATTTCCTTCAAATGAAACAATTATCGATATACATACACGTATATCAGTATGTACATATATATAAGAGGATTTGTCCTGATTGACTGACAGTATAAACCCCATCGTAGAGGCTTAGATGTGTTCTGCGTATGACGTATGTACAGAATACAAAAGGACTCACAGCGACCGATCTATACGAAAAATTTGTTTTATCGTTTGATTTACATAAAATTTTGTATAGAAGTAGTTTTGAACCCAAATTACCATTTGTAAGAACTTTTCTTCTAGAAGTGAGTCTGTATTTGTGTTACACATGTAACTCTTCGGGTAAATTGACATGGAGAACAATTTTTCTTCTGGGAATTGGTCCTGGGGCCGATTCGATGATTCGGTTTTACTTTATGTGAAACTTATGTGGGTGGTTCTTTACCTAGACTAATACTTATATGTGGAAAAGTTGTATTTCTTTTTTCATATAGTTTTACGTAGTAGATCATAAATTACAATAAAAGAAAGCACGTAGAAACCAAATAAAAATCTTATCAGAACCATCTTCGAATTCTATGCGGAAGAAGTCGCGGGCAACCTCTAATTTAAAATAAAACAAGAAATTTTACAAATATAGGATTATTAACTGTTACTGAATATTTATTAAGTGGTATAATATATTGGAAACTTATTTGTTATATAAATATAACACATACATACATATGTATATTATATTATTAATTTAACATAAAATATTTTATAATATATGTGTATGTGGTAGAAATAAAAACGAGAAACAAAACCACATGCCTTCGGAGATGGAAAGGATGAGTCACATGGCTTATAGAAAATACCCAAATTTTATCATCTTCATGTTTTTCTCAAAAACGTAGCTAAATCAGAATTTCTTTCAAAAAAGCATTGAACATTTCAGGGAATCTTTTGTAGTTAATTTCTGAATTATCAGGTGTACAACTTTGCCTCCGCCGTTTTTTCCAAAATTAAAAGCTTTATTGCGAAAAAGAGAGACAGATATATTATTTAAAGTATTTTCCTTCGCTAGGGACATCTTTCCGGCGATTTTCGGATCCCGGCTCGAAAAAAGGAGTCCTCTTTTGACGCCATCCATGAAGCAATCCATTTTTCCAATTCTTCTAAGGATTGAAAATGTTGATCTGCCAGGCCGTGTGCCATCGAACGGAATAGGTGGAAGTCAGAAGGGGCGACATCTGGGGAATACGGCGGGTGGGGTAAGACTTCCCATTTCAGCGTTTCCGAGTACTTTTTGACCATTTTTGCGACGTGAGGCCGAGCATTGTCGTGTTGGAGGATGACTTTGTCATGTCGCTCTTGATATTGTGGCCGTTTTTCTTTTAGCGCGCGACTAAGGCGCATCAGTTACTTTCGGTAGCGATCTCCTGTGATGGTTTCACCCGGTTTTTAGAGCTCGTAATAAATCACACCGAGCTGATCCCACCAAATACAAATCATAATCTTGTTTGTCTTCGACATCAAAATCACCATTTTTAAAACGTTGAAACCACTCCCGACACGTTCTTTCACTCAGAGCAGCATCACCGCAAGTTTCTGAGAGCATTCGATGCGCACAGAAAAGTAAAACTTCCCGCAAATGGCGAGAATTAGGCACATAAACGGACATTTTCGAGTGTGAATAATGCGAAAACAAGAATAACTGTCACTGAAACGACGATGACATTTCGTTAGGCACTGTCCACACTCACTTTAAAGGCATTATCATTTATGTATTTCAACCAGCCTCAGCCGGTTCAGCCACCTAAGCCGGAAAACGGCGGAAGCAAAGTTGTACACCTGATAGTTGTTAAATATGATGATTTCTTAAGCAGTTTATTTCCCAGCTACCACTGGGATTCACTAACTTTTCGCATCGCTTACTTACGAATTTCCTCCCTTGCACTGATGATTATGAAATTCATTTCATTTTTAAAGACACTATATAATTGACATTTCCTTTTTAATAATATTAATAATGAGTATAAAGCTTTATGAATAATAAGATTGGTACGGTCGATAGCTGAAAAAAGTTTAACCAAAAGAAAGTAGAGAAGTGAGTATGGTTCGTTGAGTTGAACATATAATTCCACCTATACCGTTACCACGCTGAAGCGACTTTCCGCCGAGCTCCTCCTCCAATTTGTGGTTTTACGCCTTGATGTTTTTCCGACAAATGGAGGGACCTACCGCCTCCGAACGGCTGATGGTTCTTTATGAGATGCTTTATTTCATGTCAGAAATACACTCGGAATTTTCTAATTACGGTCGCCCCTTGTCAGGAATCTCAAGCCGTTCGAGCGTATTTCTGACATGAGACAAAAGCTCCACAAAGTCCACCAGTCGTTCGGTGACGGTTAGAATAAACTGCACCATTTCCCATTTTTTTGGAATATATTAAACAATAGTCCATATGCACGTTTCTTTGACTTGTTTGCAACACTTCTGAGCTAAACGTCTAAACGTTTTTATGGCTGCTTCTGCATGATGCTGCCATCATCAACGACAAGTGCAGCAGAAACATAAATCGCAGCAATGAAAACTAAAATACTTGATGACAGGAAGAGATTACTTAAAAAGGAAAATTGCAATTTCTTATCTTTCCTTGGCACGTGTGGCATGTGTGGCATGTGTGGCATGCATCTGCTAGCATTTTACAGCAGAATAAAAAAAAGAAAAAGTTAACTTCGATCATGCCGAAAGCTTCAAGCTTGTCATGAGCTCGGACTTGAAACAAAAATACTGATGGAAATAACTAAATTAACTGAACTCATCCCCATGGTCGTATGTGTCTGGATTTTATTTTTGCTATATACGTGTACATGAACGTATATCTTCTCCTTTTGTAGTAATATTTCATGTTACTGGAATTTATGTATAAAAAATTAATAGTAAGGACATTTTCGATGGTTTACCATATTCTTGTTGACTAAATCAACTAATTGTTTTGGTTTGCCAAGGTTTAATTGTTTTTTTTCCTTTAAGCTGTGGTTGCGAAACAACAAGTACGACAGCGTAAGGAGTGAGAGAGAGTAAGGAATGAGAGAGAGTACACGGCTTCATTCCATAGTGCCCATAAGACCCTCCTTTAATGCGCCGTAAGTTCTTACATACATATTGAAGCTCAGCTCTCTTAAGATCTCATCAGTATATTTAGTTTTTAGATTTCTGTTGCTTATATTAACTTATAAATGTTTCTTAAATTTGGATGCTTCATTCACTGGCAAAAGAAAACCGAATACTCACCTCTATAACTTAGAATATTCGTAAACAGAAGCGCGTTCTCGAAATTGAGTCCGAAAGGAATTCCAAATTCTTGTTCTGTAGTTCAATCGAATTTCATTTATCGAAATATTCGTTTTTTAAGTTTTTCTTGAGTATAGTGGCGAAAGCATGAATGCAGTACAATATGTGAGTGAATGTGTAAAAACCTCATTGTGGCACCCAATTGAAAAATCTGTGGAATGAACTTTTTTAGTTTCGCCCCGCTTCGCTTAGTACCATGAAGATCACATCATTAAGTCAAGTGGTTTGCAATAGTCACACAAAATTCTCCCTCTTAATTATTATTTTTTTTCATTTTTCAAATCAATAGCAATCGCAACCACAATCCAAAAAAGTAAACAATGAATGCAACAATACTACATACTTTTTGACACTCGGAACTGGATTTGTTTCTGGTTCGAATTTCTTAATTCCACTAGAATTTCGAATACCTTTTGGAGGGACCTGAAGTTAATTCTTAGTTAACTTGGAGCAGTTGGTGGATTTATTTGAGGATCAGAAGTAACCGTGGAGGGATTGACATTCCGAGAGACGACCGCAATTAAACAAATTTAGTTTCAATAATTCCTGTACCCACGACCCTCCGCATGGTAGTACGCACTGCTATTCCCTTGACTAATTCATCCGTAGATAATATTTAAGCGGGCAAAAGGAAAATGTCTGTAGCATCTCAAATAATTATACTTTGGTAGCAACCTTTTGCTCTACCGAAAATATGTTTCTTGGTAAATAAATTACATCTTGATTTAAATACCGGAAAACTTAAACCCCACCAAATGTTACAGAGGCTTCGGGAAAACCTTTAGGATCCGCCACAAAATCCGACACTTAGTGTTTCATTTGACCACATTTATTATTTCGCGGGCTCCCAACCTTTTGCACAAGCCAAAAATAATATTACTTTCTGTATTTGCTTGCTACCCACCAATAGTATATGCATGTATATGTATATTAATTTAAAATGCCTTCATATATTAAATTTCAGTTTTTATTTCCCAATGCTTTGCTTATATGATTGTGACTTACCATATGGAATTAATTTCTCCTTGAAAATATGGGGGAGCGCATCCACCTACGAATCGCTGTGTGACTCACACAAAAAACAAACTTTTCCGATTGGCATTTGAATAAATATAAGGAGCTTTCAACACTTTTCTATTGAATTCTAAATCAATTAATGGTTCGCATGATTTATGAAGATTTGCTTTGCTTCCTCCATCCGTTCACTTGTATCTTTCAAGGCGCGTTAATGTATAACGGTGTTTTTACCGTTGTCAATACAAATTCGCTAGACTTATGGATTTTATTTATTTTATTGTTCTTTTATATACTTCTTTTCTTGTCACTAAAAAGCCATTAACAGCAATTGATTGATTTCCACATTCCTTGACAACTGTAGCAAATATATATGCACTGAATTAAGGCGAGGCTTTTCACAATTCGATTCAACTCTCCGACTCAACCGCGTGAACGAACCGTACACTTTCGTCATTGAATGATGACTGAGATGACTGGTGATAACCAGCATAGATATGTAGCGAATGCTGCTTGGAAAACACTATAGCACCCACGACAACAATTGCCACGGCAACAGCATCCGCAACGGAGGCGAGAAATTCGGAGTAGCAGGACCTACACATGTTTCGGAGCCGAATAGCTCAGCGGGCTATACCGACCGTCAAATGTGCAAATGGCACTAGGCCAGTGGCACACAAAAGCAGCCGCCACATGGCTAGACATTACGCACATCTCCTCATCTCTTCATCCAATGTAACGTCGTTACTAAAGGAAGAATTCTACTCCGAATTCCTTGCCATTCACAGGACGTTAATTGAGAGTTTCGTATGCCGCGATTGCGCGCTTCATTCTGCTCTCCAAATTTACATTGCCTTCAATTTCATAGAAAATATTTCTAGCATTTATCGGAAGAGACTAAGACCATAATATTAATATGCTTAAATCGCTTGAGAGTTATTTAATGGAAATTACTTGGAAATATTCAAATCAATTATGGCTAAAGGAATACAGGGCGAGACTTGTTGGCGTGTTCTTAGCGTCAATCCACGTTTGGTCGCTATACTTGTTTGAGTAGGTTGTACTGAAAGCTTCTAGGATACTTTATGCAATCAAAAATGTAACGTTTAGAAATCGCTTGAAATATTTCGTTAGCAATCTTTAAAAATTCGAGTGCCATATTTTTAAACTCAATTGTAGTATTTTGGTTATTATAGAATGAAAACTCGATTTTTTAAATGAACCTGAATTTGGGTAACCCTTACCAAACAGACTTATTAAACTCAAACTCCATTGCTAAACAGTGGAGACTGTCCGCAAATTCATTCATTTTTAAGCTTATTTGTAATTTGGCCTGTACATCAAGACGATTTCATTGCCAACGTCCGGATACTTAAAAGAAAACTTAAAAAGTTTCACACTAAACCAGCTCACCATTTTTTCTTCGAAATTAGGTTTATTTATCCGTATGACGACCGAATTATCCCTTATCTTTTCTAATAGCTTTCACCCCTAGGCAGGGAATGTCGACTCTTTCCAGTTAATTTCCGACATAAAACGGTAAGGCTCAAGGCTGCTCATAAAAACCCATAGGCCGTGCGAAGCCAGCTTAGAATAAACTGTAATCTGTCTGTCTTGAAACACACTAAACACCCACCCCAAATTGGAGGAAGAGCCGTAAAAGGCCGTAAAAGGCCGTAATGAATTTATAGTGTTGAGACCATTCATTTTCATACAAACCTGAATGAATAGCTTAACCACCCTGTATAAAAATCCACTCTTTCATTTTCTCACCACGAAAAATTCGGAGAAGAGAGCCAATAAGTCAATTGCGTGAGAAGGACATTTGCAAAGCAAAAACCAAAAAGGTGGCGCCACAGAAATGTAGCACCCGCCATTGTATATATGTGCATATGTATGTACAAGTGTAGTTACGTATTAAGAGATAAATTTGTCTGAGACACTGATGCTTGACTTGTTCCGCTCAGACCTACACCAAAGGCTTTTCGAAATCAACTTACATGCGCTCCTACGAGTGCAAAGCTGGAAACACACGAATGATAGCAAAGTGAAAGATTGGAATGTGTGTTTTGTAGATGGGTGTATGTGCGCGTCTCAACTAATTCTCATATACATGAGTACTATACATACATATATGTAGGCGCGCAAATATGTAAACATGTTCGACTCCTTGTATGAATAAATTTACAATTTAAAACGTAAATTTATGTGCATTTACGTATGCATGTATGTACACGTATGAGCATGTATGTATGTTGAGTGTGGGTATTTCGTTTGATAGCTAAGACAATTTTTGTTATCCTTTAATGCTTATTTATACATACATACATATGTATGTTTGTGCATATTGTCTGTACATACATTTATATATACCAATATATTTACTCATTATACACGCATTGTGAGTGTATAAAAATGAAATTCACTACATTTTACGAATATCCACTGCCGCTTCAAGTGCATATTGTCTCTTATGAGAACATAAATTGTGCCATAAGTGTCTTTAATGAATCAACTTATAGTGCGACGTCTAAAATTAATAAATACATTAGTCCTTATGAGCTTTCATTCGATGCTCTCGCCCCCTTTTCATTGAAAAGGTTCATATCACACGGGTTGATTAAAGCATCTGGCTCAAGGGCATCAGGATGCGCAAGAGTACGAATTAAGCATAGGCCTGGAACTGTAACCGAGTACTCAAAAGCAATCAAAAAAAAAAAACGGTCAGCGCTTTGACATTCCGCATCTCATGTCACAAAGGATATAAAGTCGTAAAGAATTTTATCTATCTAGGAACCAGCATTAAATCCATAACAATATCAGTGAACGCGATAGCCGAGTGGCTAGTATTGTATACTGCCATTCGAATGGCCAGAGATCGAGTCCTGGTCCGACGAACATCCAAAAATTATTGAAATTTAATTTAAATAAATATTAAGTCAAACTTTCTAATTGAGGTCGCAGTGAATCCTACGCCCTACTGTGTGTATTTCAGACATGGAACTAAAGCTCTTCAAGTAAAATCATCAGCCGTTCGGATGCGGCTTAGTATAAACAGTAGGCCCGTCCGTCCATTTGTTGGGAAAACATCAAGACACACACCATAAAATGGCAAGCAAGAAAAACCAACAAAGATGGTTTGTCAACACGCGAACATGGAAAATTCTCATAAAATTACTCAAATTAATCTAAGCGATTTCAGACAAGAAAAGTTCAAGCAGCCCATACGAGCGAAAATAAAAAAATTCAGGCGAATGGAACCATAAAGAGATTATTAAGAACCAGTTTCTGTATGTTAATCTAAACGATAAGCTACCAAAAAATTGAATTTCAAGCGAATCGAATCGTAACTAAGACTATCTCGCATGAATCGGTCCCCGAGGTTCTCTTAATAAAGTTGAATTCCATTTCGGTCCAGCCGTAATCAATTCAGGAAAAACTATAAGCTCTTTCCAACATAAGGGTAAGGAATAGATCGGTCCTTGGTACTGTTCTTATTTCCATTAAATCGAACTATAATTTCAAATTTTTTAATTTTTTTTATATTCCGTAGAAAAGAAGAGTGTAAAAAGACATCTATGTACCGAGCTTTTAGTAAATCAAACCTTAAATAAGATTTTTTCGAATAGATCAGCCCCAAAAATAGATATTAGCCGATTCTCAGATCTTCAGAATATGCATCTAAAATTTCATTAAAATCCCTCAAACCGTCTCGAAGGAGTATAGTTCGAACACTGTGACACGAGAATTTTATTTATTTGATAATATCAGGCTTGAAATCCAACGCTGAGTTATTCTCGCCAAGTGATGATAATACGAACTGGGTAGACGATTGAAAAGTGAATGGTCCAAAAGGAAAGACATGTCAATATTAACATTTTTTCTCGATTTCTCTAACCATGGCATGCTTAAAGTACAAGTCTTCTAAGTCGTTCCATACATATGTTTTTGGCACATAAAGCGTTGGAATCACTTAAATCAAAACACATGGAATGCATTTACGAGTAAATTGGTATGTGGGAGTTCATATGCTCCGAAATTGATTTTAGGTTAGCTTAGGCGAAGGAGCCTTCTCTAACTTGACTGTGATGGAAGAAAGCTCTCAATTAAGAGCTTATTTAAAGCCGGTGCTAACTGGGTATGAATATGTCAAACAAAATGTGTACACTTCAAAATAATATTGTCGATTAAAGAAATCGTAGAAAAATTTTGTCTGACGAGATGCCGGGTACCACCCAGGCATTGCGCTTATGCGCTCTACACACATACATATGTACGAGTATGCAACTCAAGTGAAGAGAACGAACTTTCTAATTCTATCATAATGAGTATAAATATGTATATTTATAGTAAACTTATTGACGAACTTTCACTTAAAATGAGCTAAAAAATTATGATTTTAAGACTTCCAAAATAACGCATCACTTTTATTCACGCACAAAACTTTATTAAAGTTGTGGCCTTAAATGCACATAATTAAAACGCTTTTAGGCTATTTCATTAATGATGCAGGCAGACAAATGTCATTATTACAGATTGAACAGAGATTTTTTTTATACGTTTATATACGCTGAAGCTCAATTAAGCTTAATTACAATCCCATTACAATTTGTGAATGAAACACACAACCAACTAATCCTGTGCGTCTGACAAATCCTTCAACTTAGTCACTTCAATCCACTCAGCGTGAACTCTGTTTAACCCTGTCAGAAGTGACAACTAAAAGCTACGTGTCCAATTTAAGAACAAGACTGTCCTGATGCATTCGCGTAAATGCGGTAACTTTTTTGAGATTACAAATAATATATGTAATAAAGTTAGTAAGGAAGGTCTAGGCTTGGAATCAAAACCTCTGAGTTTAATTCTAATAAGAAATAAAAGCTTCAGCCGTTCTGAAATGGCTTAAAACTGCACGTGTTTCCATTATTTTGGGAAAACCTCTATTACGACATGAGTCACATATCCAAACAATAAATTTTAGTGAGGCTATGTGTTTCAATAAAATACCTAATTTCCCTTTTTCCCATGCTTAGTTGCTTACAAATGGCAACAGATTACTTATTTGAACTATGGGCGTCATGTCTAACAGTGCTCCGATCTCGTCGGTTCTGACAAATGCTTTCTACAATACAAATATACAGCGGCACGCTAAATCTTGTTAAAATATCTAAACAACTGAGAGACAGACAGCCAGGCAGAAGGATCTAATATTAACTCAGTACGTAATGCATTCTTCCTTGATCTGGGCCTAGTATGAGCCCACGATGTTTAGAGAGAGAGATCCGTGATCTAGATCTACCGTCACTATTTTTTTGTACATCCAAAACGTCAAGGTATCTAATGTGTGATTTCGTCGCGGTATAGTTCTCATTACATCCGTCTCTAGTCTATATACAGGATAGAAGAGTTTCGACCAATCGATTTAACCATATCTGTCTGCCTGTGGGTGAATAGCCAGTACAAGGTCCCGCTGAAACAGTTACATTACTTTACCTCTGTTTACGCTTACCAGTTCCTGAAGGGGAGAGTCATAACTTAAATTCGCTGAAATGTTAAGTTAGAAATACTCATGTGATCCCTTAAACTAGCAAAAGCAAGGTAGTCAGGGACAAACTTTCGAGATAAATACACGTCATCGTCTTCCATGGGGCACTTGCAAAATGGGGCATACTAGTCTTCAAGTTGGCTAAAGGCAGAAGCGATGGGTTTTCACTTAGTGCTAGAAGATTATAATTAAACTTGGAATTCTGCACACATTCAACCGTTTAGTGAACAAAGTAAATAGTCTTTATGTGAACAGGAAGTTGGGTTGGGTGACTCAGTCAATATATTTATAAACACATACTTATAAATGTCTAGTATTTAGACAACCATTAACGGGACTGTAATGCCTTAAAGGCATATAAACAGAGAACAGAAAGAAAATAACTGAATTGCTACTTTTACAAAGCGTGTTGGTGTTACACTGATTATACTGAAAAATCAATAGAAACCAATACCGCTAACCCAAAACTTTTTTTGGCCTTCAAATCCGGCTACGAACTTTTATTTACTCCATCTTTCTGCGTTGCGAGTGATTCTCTAACTAATACTCTGCATAAATAAAACCTGTCATGTACACATACATTATCTACACATATATATATCGGTATTAGGGTGTCACGTGTGAACAAAAAAATTGCTTCTCCTCATTCTATGTTAATTTATGCAAGACCTACTAAAAAGCTTTCTTCTTGTTGCAGGTGATTATTTGTAAAACAATTAACGTCATTAGTCTTTTAATAGAAAATTATTATTAAATATAAAGAAAAATCGCACACTAATCACAAAGTGTAAGGCTTAGCCTCAACATTGCCCTTGAATTATAGCAAACCATTTGGCATATTCTCTTTTCTATCCTTTTGTTACATGCTGTATTGCAACCACCCAAATTACCTACACCCTGCACATGCCCGAATAAATAGCACACCCCACTAATTTCATTTTGCGTACTCGTACACTATTCATTTTCTAGCCTCCGAGAATGCTCACGCCACGGAATTTTTCTTTGTATCCTTTCAATCATTATTATTCAAGGAGCGTTTTAAGCACCACAGCGATTTGCCCACGTTGTGTGAATGGTGAATGGAAATAGTGCTTTTCCCTTTCTGCTGCTTCGTTTCGTACGAAAAAAAAAGTTCCACTAGAAGTTATTTCAAATGAGATGAATTTAAAAGTACTCGTACGATATTAATTTTCATTTTCCATTATCTTTAACCGCATAATTCGTTAAACGGAAATACCAAACTTTAAGGATGGGTGATGAGGGAGTATCGGTGGCTGTCTAGATAGAGCAACAAGTGTGGCAGACCAACATGAAGAATCAGTGGGGGAGATAGTATTTTCAAAATATTAAAAAAAAAATGTTTGTATGTATTAAATAAAAGTTATTAAGTATTTTCTTTTGCAAAATAACACTCTGCTGGAACTTACTTTCCAACACTGCTACTAGCTGTCAAAATATAAGCGGAATATTTCAGCGATCGGGAAAACAAGAATCAATGCGAATTCATAAGGAAAAGAGCAGGAGAACAAAAACAACAATTACACTGTATTTTGTTTTTGTTTTCAGTGTAACAATTGTCAAAAACAGGGAGATTGGAAAAATATATGTACATACAAAACACAACGATTTGCCTTCAAAAAGGTTTTCCAAACCCATTTTTACAGACTTTGAGCCGTCTTGAAAAAGCGTTCCCTCAATAAACATAGACAGGTAATTTCATAGTCCACTGCAGCGTCTTCTAAGCAGAACTGTTTGCAATCATGGAATCCGCCGAGTGACTCGATAACAAATAGCCATCAGATTTCTACAGGGTAACAGTACAACATCAAAACGGGCTATGAAAAGAAACAACCTGAACAATTTTTCGGCTTAATTGCAATACTGCCATGGTCTGGGTACCCATACACAGAAGCATCCCACGCTTTTTCACGGCAGACGAGCCAGCTATGACCAAAATTGGAAGCGAAAAAAATCTGAACATATTTTCTTTCTAGACCAGTTATCCACCCAACTACGGGTGTAATAAGACAAGTAACTGTTCAATGGGGCTTCACGGAAAAGCAGGCTACTATTCCAATCATGGTGGCCGCATAGAAAGAGTCTATTGAACACTAAGACTTCTTTAAATGACTCGCTAAGCAAGCTTCAACAAAAATTGCTAATCTTGCTGCTTTTAATAAACACGCGAAATGGCTCGAGAGAAGGACAAGATAAGAACGTCTTGCGCATAAACTTAATTCAACAACGGTCTATATTTTTTATTAAAAAAAAAAAAACAAAAAATCTAATTTGAAAATTTTAATTTTTTCAATTGGAAATTCAAATTAAATGTAAACAAAAGAAAAGCAAAATATAAATAAAAATGCAATGTATGAAAAGCATTTTGACAGTCGTTGAAAAGTTGAATTCGCAGCTCTTGATAAATTCTCTTTGACAAGAATCTTTGATATATGTACGATACATATAAATATATTATATTTAGTCAAAAATAATAACAAATATGAACTGAGCGTGTACTTTTTCTAGAGATTATTTGAACGTGTGTGAGTGAGAATCGTGAATTAGGCTGTGCTAGATCCTGGAAAACGAGCAACGAAATAGTGGACACCAAATTTGTAAGTTCCAGTTCATCCTCTAAAGACACCTAAAACCAAAGTGAATGTCATGAGAAAAATTACAACTTTGAAGGATTTAGATTATGGAACCCAACCAAAGAAAATTGAACGAAATACGTACAGAAGGTTTTCGAAGACTGGTAAAACTTGCAGAACAAAGGGATTTGATTTGAAGTGTTGCACATAAGATTTGCATTACTTTTTGTCCTTGAAGAGGAAATTGAAATTAAAGAGTCAAAGTTAGAAGCAAGATTGGATAGAAGAACCAACCTTTTAATTATTTAAGACAACAAAATTTTATTCAAAATATAAAGAATGTTCCCTCGATGTTCCCTCCTTTTTTAAAGAAAAAAACTCAGAGAATTCATATTTTATGGGAGATAATTATTATTATTCGAAAGAACATTCTTTGGTATATATTTTTTTTTTTTTTTTTTTGATTAACTCTATCAAATGTTGGCGTCTCAGATGCTCCATCCGTTGATCATTTCGAGTGTTCGAATGGTAACTGACCAATGACATGCGTGAATTTTTGCTCCCAGGCCTGAATCGAAGCGGAATCGTCCGCATAGACTTTAGACTGAACATGTCCCACAGGAAAAAGTCCAACGGTGTGATATCGTACTTTCTCACCGGCATCATTTTTGAAGAAATATAGACAATTATCGGTCTATACCGGCCCACAAACCACATCAAACAGTTCTTTTTGTCTGTATGAAATAGCAGCGCTTGAATCTCTTCAGGTTGCTTTTCATTCCAAATGCGGCAATTTTGGTTGTTTACTTGCCTCAACGCTGAGCAATGCTGTCTTGAAAACGACGAATCTTCTTGGAGCTTTTCATGAGGCCCAAGAGCAAAGCATTGCCGCTTGGGAAGGTTTAATGGCTTCAGTTCTTGTACCAGCCGTACTTTATATGCTTTCGATTTAAAATCTCAATTTAAATCTCGAAGTAAAATGCACCAAGTTATTCCATACGTTAGTCCGAGTTGCTGCGAACGGCGCTGAATCGACTCTCCACGGTCTTCGTGTACACTCTCAGCTAGGGCCGCTATATTTTCTTTACATCGTACTGGACGTGGTCTGTTCGGTCGAAAATAATAATAATCCAATAATGAATGCTGAGTGCCAACATGGAGGTTAGGGATGCCAAAAGTACGCTCAGTAGGACGATTATGTTAACCATAAGCTAAGCAAAGACCGCGAAATACATTTTTTACTAAACGTGAATTTTCGTAATGAAGTTAAACGATTTGTAAACGTTTTTTAGGTGTAAGACTTTCCATGATAAAATGCCAATGATCGGACATTCCAGGTGCATGCCCACTAATCGTGATCCTTAATTCGTTTGGGGGTGTTGTCATCAGAAAGGGGGTATCTCATCCGAGGCGATATATATGTGTATATACATATATATAACAGAGGTAACAAATACTTGTCGAAACTGCAAAATCATCCAGAGTGTATCTGCCAGTCGGTTTAAGAGCAACGTCATACCTGGTGTGCATTACTACTAATAGAATAAAGCTGTAATTCACTAAACTTATTTTTAGACCTGAATTAAGTTGACGTTATAAATAAATAACCTTTAACCGAAAAAGAAAACAAATAACATTGCTGAGTTTATGCTTAAACGGCACAAGGGTATCAGATGACAGTTTTTTGCTGGAGACTTTTTCGTCGAACTCCAAAGTGATAGACATCTAGAGCTGGACTGAAAATTACCTTCTTCCCCATACTAGCGTACATTTTTTCTTTTTCCTGGAGCAGTTTTCCTCTAACTGGAAAGTTTTTTGTGTTGCTCCATAAACCAGTTGTATAAAGCTTGCTCCATGCGAGGGTACACTCATTTTCTAATAGTCTTTCACTTATATGTTCACCGCAAATAGAGATGAAAAGTTTTCGAATATTTTCAAATATTTCCAACATTTCCTTTAATGAGAGGAGTTTCCACCATAACTTGATCCACCCATATTTTGTTCGCTCAGAAACATGAATTACCCGTAAAAGGCCCACTGTCAACCCCTATCGGGTCGAACTCGACGAAAATCATAACCACTAAGGTCAAGAAACAGCTGATTTGTAACAATCAACAGCAGATACAAAAAATACACTTTTTTCTGCTTTTTGCTTGGAAAATTTTGTTTACTTTTTCATAGAGGTTTTCGATTGTTCACTATTTGGGTACTCCTGTAAAAATTTGAACGTTCACTATATCGGGGTGTTCACTGTATCCAGACGAATGTATTAAATCCAAAAAAGAAATTGAAATAAGGAAAATAAGAAATACTTGATTCTGTTTTGTTTTTTACTAAGACAATTAATTATTACAGATTGGTTTCACTTTATGTATGTGTGTGACCAAAACAACTATTGTGGCAAAAGACAAGGTTGGTCGAGCAAAAAATCGTTCAAAGGCTGGTAAGAAAGTTTCAGCCGAAAAGGTTAAAAACATGCACAAGCAAGATTGAATGAAGAACTACACCTTGGTTTCAAAAGAAATGAAAGAGCAAAGTAAGTTAAAACTGGTTGTCAACCAGTGTGAAAAGTGGACCTAGATCACGAATGGAAGTTATGTTTACTACAAGACTATGTTAAAAATACACAATTATACGATTTGTCACATAAAATGTGGAATAGCTGCTTATGAAAGAACGCAAGTTAAGCACCGAGAATTAATTTTTGACATACCGATAACTCTTTCCACTATATTACGCGCAGATGCATGCTTCTTTTGAATCTATGCTGCATCGTCCCACTATAGGTATCTCTGCAAGAGGTTAATAGGAAAAGCTGAAGAGCATATTCTGCATCTCCCAGAAACCAAAAACCTCTTTCGCCTGAGACGTACAATCGCTCTTGATGCTCTAAATATTGCGCAGGACGTCGAACATCAATAGTTTTTATAAAAATATTGTAATCACAAACCTTTTACTTATCCGTATAAAAAATCACAATGGAACTCAGCAGTACTTGCAATCATAACATTAATGCTGTGGTAACCTTTCCTGTTATAAAGAGAGTGCCGTCGATGTGTGGCTCATAGTTTCTGGACAGCACACATGTCCACACAACACATTACTAGTCCAACGTTATCTATAAAATAACATTTATTGTTATCCACCTACCGCAAAAATATCATTCTAAATTAGTAAGAACCCGATTTAGAACTTTTCAGATAGTGCTTACACCTAAAGTTACATGTCTATCCTTTCCAGCATCTCGTTAAAGTGAAACTTTTAGCAACTAGCTACTTGTTAAATATGAGGTGGGATACTCAATGCCGGTAGTCTTAAGCATAATTTTAAAAATTTCTATTGATTGCCAATGGATTTCGGTGATCTCTTTTATTGCAAATTTTTGACATTTATATTTAATAACTGAATCTGCATCGACATCAGAAGCCTCACAAGAAGTTGACATATATATCTTAATAGCCCGTTAGCTAGAGATGGGCTGTTGGCGCAGTTTTGCTCTTTACAATTCATAATTCCCTTCTCTTCAGGCGCGTTTGACTTGTGGACAAAGTGGATGATAGTGCAGTTTTGCTCCTTATTTTGGTTTGTATTTAGATCTCTATGGGTGTTTTCATTTGGCAAGTACCATGGTGCGCCCGTTATTATTGTTAATGTTTTCGATTGGAATCTTTGTAATATACTGTGTGACAAAGTCTGTGACCCACAACTGGATTCTATACATTCATATCGGCTATATAGTTACATTATGAAGAAAAACTTTGATTTCACGGCTGAGTACAAATTTCTTGCAAAAAGCCAGAATAAAGTGAAAATAATCATTGTAATAGTATTCATTTTGATTTTAATTTTTTATTTAACCAAAACTCTTGGTCAGATTACAATGTAGTTTGCTAAACTCAAGTTCTTAATTTTGTCAACTGTCACAAGGTGCTCGAAGTTCATTTCGAAAAGTAAAATGTAACTTCGAATCACTACTTTTACAGTAAAACATAACACCGTATACTATGTGAAGAGCGAAAAAGAGCTGTTCCGTTTTTTCTCTCTCTCTTCTTCTTCAACTTTTGAGTTTGCTCTTGTTTTCTTCCATTTCCATCTCCATTCCTCCAATGGAACATGTAATAGCTATTCTTCTGCATGCATTCAATTATTTATATTTCTTTTTGCACTAGTTCTAGGGGGTTCCAAAGGGTCGAGGAGCACAGGTATGTAAATATTTGGTTAAAATATTTTTTTTTTCACTCCTTTAGTTTTATACGATTTATTTGAAGTAACCTTTGCACAATTAAACTACAGTTTATACAGAATTATCGATGATAAGATTTCGTTATCAAAACGGCAAATGTGAGTAAGTTTCCAAAAATTTTCTTTTTAGATTATAGGCACAATGAAAAATAAATAAAAGTCTTTTATTTAGCAGATGTATGTGTTCTATATGTAACATAGAAAATATTATAGGAAAGTTAAAATAATTATAAATTAAATTATACGAATATATACATACTTGTACTTATATACATAATATAATATATTATGAAATTTGAAGTGTGTGGGCCGACAATTGTTGAATTTTATTAAAAGTAGAAAAAATATAATACAAAATATTTGCACACGCACTTCTCGACAGTAAGATCCGGCAGTTTTCTATTACTACATATATTTCTTCCACGATATGTACATACATATGTATGTTTGTCTGAATTTAAGTAGACTCAGCAAAAAGCGAATTCAATAATAGTTTTCTTGTCTATTTGGTTCAATAGTAACTCTGGCATATGGACTGCCAGAACCTACCTTGCGGCGTAGCGTTACCCCACCTCTGTTTGGACGTAAACACATAACAACGGCATAAATACCAGCTGCACATAACAATATGAGGCCAAAAATAAACAGCCCACCTACCCAATGAGGCCAATGGGGACAACTGAAATCGGACTTTTCCACATTTGTAAGGCTCTCACCTCTCAAGCGAGACGGATTGTAACAACGTCCGCTCGTTTCCAAGGCCAACTCTTTGATCCATACTAATTCGCAGTCGCAATTAAGCGGCGTGCCATTGAGATCCAATTCGGTGAGTTGTTTGAAAAGTGGCGCCAAAGTGGCATTAAATGTGCCCATTGCAGTGCCACGAAAAATGAGAGTACGTAGCTCTGGAAAGTGGCTACCAGAGCCAAATGCCTCACTGCTGAACTTATTTAGTCGACGACTATTCTGGAAGCTAATCGTTTTTAATGCAGTCATCGTGCGAAACGCATCTTTTTCAATAGACTGCAGGCGCGGCATATCCTCCAAATACAGCTCGCTCAATACTGCAGATAAGTTAGCTGTAACTGCTGGTGAAATTGTGCCAAACAGATTTCCACTTATATCAAGTTTCTCCAAATTTGTTGGTAATTTCGTCGGAATTTTCTCTAGCATATTACGACGTAAATCTAGTCGAACGAGTGCAGCCTTCTCTGACAACACTAAATCGGTTAAACTGCAAGCTTGCAATCGCAAAGTGCGAAGTTTCGAATTCACCCCAAAAGTGCGATAAAAGTCCTGATCTTGAATATTCTCTGTTTCATTCAACTGGCGGTTCCACGACAGATCCAATGTTTCCAACACAATTAATGGGCGGAAGAGCTGCAGACCTAAGGCGTGTATATTGTTGTGAGACAAGTCCAGCACTTGCAGGTGAGCTAACTCATCGAATGCGCTCAACTCAACAGATTGAATACTATTCCAACCCAAATATAGCTCGCGAAGATTAGTAACCTTAACAAATTTTTTATTAGTTATAGAAGTGATATTATTGTGCATCACATTTAGAACACGAAGACTGTCACTGGCCAATGTCGGCACTTCGTTGACTGAATTCCATGACAAGTCCAGAGTATTCACATAGAGCGGCAGCACTTCAGAGAAATCAACTGTTTTCAGGCTCTTATAACTGCAGTCAATGTTTATCGCCCGAATACCCCATGGTGGCGCATTCTCATTGCTACACTCACATGATTTTCGGGTATTCTTGTGTTCCTCAGGATAGCAAAATCGTTCCACTTCATTGGCATCGATAACTTCAGCTAAAACGTACCTTGTCAATGCGAATAGAGCGAAGGACAAATACAAATAAATGTGCATGGCGAATGCAATATTTTCCAGAGAGTATAGAACTCTATTGGTACAAATGTGAACTGTCGGAAATGAAGGCATCGAAGTTGCTTGCCAGTCAAGCTTGTGGAATTTTACTTCCAATATTTCCAGATAAAAGATAAGATTAGCTTCTTTCCGTATGTATTTTTACAGTTTAAAGCTACAAATTCGTATGTGTGTATGCCATACATGTGTCATACACATCAAACTTTTATCTATGCATGTACATACGTAGGTGCGTTGATGTGAACTCTTCATTCCAATGCGATAAGATATGAAATGCACTTTCATCGTTTTATTTTTTATTTGTTTGTTTTGTAAGGCATTAGTATTTCAAAATAATATTGATATTCGGACTTATCTTAAACCTGTCGCTTTCATTAATCATAAGGTTTTCTTATTTACTAACCAAAGTGCACGTAAGATGTTGGTAAGAAAATAGTCGCCAATCTATTAATAAAAATAGAAATCAAGAGAGAGAAATTTTACTTCTTACTGCCACGATAGCCCACGACTGCATTGACTTTCATGCAACTTCTCTAGGGATTCAATATGCCTCTCTCATTATCTTTTACTTCTACAACTTAATAGCTTTATAATTCGCTTTAAAACACGTGGATGCCGCTACTGTGACTATATCAGTCCCACAAAAGAACGCCAGACATCGGCACACACACAGATTATAACTGTCTATCTTCAAAAATTTTCGCATTATTATGCTACTGTTAAGGCGAAGATCCTTTTTGAGTGCTACCTGAAATAAAAACTGTACACAAATTGTAAATCAGCTGTTTATTTCGGCTGTTACATTTGAATCCGTTCATTTATACAGATATGTTTTCTGCTTTTGACTTTTCATGGGTATTTTAAATAAAACTAATTAATTTTATGGCATTTTTATTTATAAAAAAAAAACTATGAAGATTTACATAAAGCATGCTTTGCAAAAAATTGTCGCTTAGATTTTTAGAAAAGATTATTGAAATGCGAAAATGAGTTTTCAAGTCTTTTTCAGTAACACCGCATCACCAACATTCATCATTTGTACTGAGAGAGCTCTTACATATTTACTCGCTAATTCTCACTGAAATTTCTCACCGCACGGAGCTAATGCTGGCATGCCGATACACAGCATTAAAAAAGAACAGAGAAGTGGTTTGAAAATGAAACATACTCGTAATATGACCTCGCTTAACACGGGGGATACGTTCCTTTAAAGTTAGACGTAATGCGGAACAGCGCTAAACGAGACTATCCCAGCAAAAACGACCTAAGGCATTCACTAACATATAAGCACAACCACCCTGAAGAAAACTACTCCGTGTCACCAATTAATGGATCGACTTGCGTCTATTGATAGCCTATGATTGCTTGTGTTTTGATGATCACAATAACAATACCAAATATAGCCCAAAACATAATGGCGCAGTGTCAGTGGCAGTGGCAGTGTTCGAAATACTCATTTATTTACAATTTGATGATCAACAAACCAAGTGGTACCAACATATTCTATATAATCTGCGTTACTGAAGATTTTCCAATTTACTGATATCTAGGTATGAAGGTTCACATAGAAATTAATAAAGAATTTTTTTTTTGTATGCTGATGCGTCTTGATTCTCGGTATCTGTCCTAGCCCAACTACGACACGGCATTTCTCATCGTACCAGCTGTTGCGACCTTTCCGAAATACAATAATTTCGTTTGCAGCTGTACATAGGCAGTTTGTAATGCCTTCCCACAGTTTCAGTATACCGAGTAGCTGATAAGTGCTCTCATGGAGCAGGAGTGCAAGTCGAGTAGAAAACCGCTCGGCAGTCTGCTGGGATTGCAGCTATTTAATGTCGAACTTTCCTTGTGATTGTTGACGGGCGTTCTTTGATGGTTAGTTGGGTCATTGGAGTGTATGCACCTCAAGAACACTGAAGGCATGTTTTCCGTCTATCAAAACATGATCGATCTGGTTTGTGTTTTTCTATCAGAGGACAGCCAAGTAGCTTGATAATAGATTCAGGCCACACCGAAGTCGATCAGCCTCAAACCATTAGGGGATGTTTCGTTGTGGATACAAAATTTTCCAACAGTTTGCTCCCTTGTATTAAAATCGCCAAGAACGATTCGCTTTGATGCGGATTGTAGCGAGAAGTTCCCCTACCGGGCCTACCGGGGGATGAAAGCGTCGCTTGTTTCGGACCAACTGTATATGACTGGTCAGCAGCACAGATTTCAGCAAATACCAAACTCCTATCTACAATTTTAGTGACTGAAACGTCAATCAAGTCAGGTAATTTCCTCGTGTCTATAGGCCAGAAAATTGCTCTCTTGGTGAGTTAAAATCGTATCTATTCTTGGAACTTACGATCGTTTTATATAACTGCCGACCTTTTTGATTAATTAGCCGCGAGCCCCGGTATTCAAGTTTCACATTGTAGTCACCTCCATCTAAAAATCTGTCTCCCAGAGTCATGAAAAAGTCGCTAAATTGTCTTTCTGTTATTACTAAACGTGGTGAACAGTAAATCGCAGCCAATGTAAGGTCAACCCCGCTATTTTTAAGGGTAATCGAAGTTGGCTGCAACCAGTTTGTTGAGAAAGAGTGAAGAAAACTATGCTTTAAGCGGTTCCTTATACAGCTGTTGTCGTACCACTTTTGCCATTTGGGTACTATAAAGCTTAAGCCCAGGGGTATTAAAGTTATACTTATGAGTTAAGTAAACTATGAGGCCTGGTAAGAATTGAATACTTTTGTTATACAACAAAGAAAAATTGTAGAAGTGACAGCTGTTTCGGAGATCACCATGTCTCCTCATCAGACTTCTTACGGCAGGGATCGAACCAACGGATCCTAACTTAACAGACGAGTGTTCTACCACTGCGCCAACATCAGCCATTTAATCTATTGTTGTATTATTAAATTTATTATTAACCAACAACTATTAAGTGCGCTAATTTAGCCGCTACTTATTTATTATTGTTGTAATTGCCAACCGGTAAATTTTATTTCAAGTATTTTAATACAGTTATTTTCTCATTCGCTATTTCCATTTGTGTAAAGCAAAAGCGCATTTTAATGTGTGCCATTTTCAATAATTGAATACTCCATATCACGCTGCAGTCCGCAGAAGCATAGGCGCATATCCCACTTCTTCCATAAAAAAATAGTTTAGCTAAAGCTGGCTTTCCATCCATCCCGGAAAGTGACAAAATAACAACATATCAGCTTAAGCCAAAAGATGCATCAATTTCGCAAATTCCATTGCGCTCAGTATAAAACCCTACCGCCAAAAGCGCAGCTTTGATCCTCCATGGACGCGCAAAATATTTTCGTTTATTTTGGATCTACAAACGTATCCAAAAAAATGCCTACTTGGTCTTCAAACAACTTTTCGAAGAAGCCTCAATAAAACACGAGGAAAGTAATTGGAATTTCTTATACACTGACGGCTCCAAAAACAATACCCACACCGGACTTGCGGTAGTTCATGGTGACGGAGCATCTTTAAAATCCGGTTTGGTATTTCCATACTGCCCTGTGCTTACCGTTGAAGCTTTAGCGATTGAGTTTGCCACAGACTACGCCAAAGTAAATAGAGGAAAATTTATACAATACAATACAAAAAATGTATTCAACAACAACAACAGCGATCTAATAGCGACAATACGAAGAAACCTTATCCAACACCCAAATAAAACAAAAAATAAAATAAAATAAAATAAAATAAAAAGATAAAAATTATGGTCACGTGGGAATTAATGGAAACGAATACACAGATGCAGCGGCTTCAACCCCCAATATGCAACCTATACAAACATTCTACACCGCTGATAAAAATGACTTTCAAAATGACTTGCAGCAGATGTTGCAACAAAAAACTATAGAATGGCTCTCATATATCCAAGGCTCACTATCCATCATCTTCTTCACGAAAGCAAAACCAAATCTTTGCTCGTCTACGATTGGGACACACCAAACTTACCCAAAAACACCTGATATGCGATACTTCACCACCCACCTGTAAATTTTGCAATGGCCCGTCATCCATCGAACACCTTTTTAACAACTGCCGCTGACTAAAAGACATCTGACATCTTATAAAATATTAGTAGCGTTCAAACGGAAAATTAAGCTCTTGATTGGATTTTATTTAAACAGAATCGAAGAAACATGCGTTCAGTTAACTCTGTTAATTCCGGCTTACACGAAAGACAATTATTTAATAAAATTAATAAATAGCATGGCCGCAAAAACAAATTATAAATATATAAGTTGAACCTGATACTTAATCCTGCCCATACATTTTTCAGTCAATTAACGCCTGAAAGTATGTATAGGGGATTCCAACACAACACACTAAGCTGTTAAGAAAATAGCGGCTAAATTAGCGTCCTTAATGGTTGTTGGTTAATAATGAATTTAATAATAGATTATATGGCTGATGTTGGCGCAGTGGTAGAGCACTCGCCTGTTAAGTCAGGATCCGTTGGTTCGATCCTTGCCATAAGAAGTCTGATGAGGAGATGTGGTGATCTCCGAAACAGCTGTCACTTCTACCATTTTTCATTGTTGTATAACAAATATTCAATTTATACAAACAACAAGGCCTCGTAGTTTACTTAATAATTCTTTTTAACTTAATGTTTCTTTTACGTAGGCAATATTTTCAGCAGACAAACATTACGCCCAGAATTACGTTGAACGTGAGTAAATATGATTTTTTCGTCATATTATATCTTGCACAAGTCCTCATCGATCTTTTACGCCGTTGCTTAGGTATATATAGGTATATAGGCAGTTATAACATTTAGGCAAAAACATTCCGCTGAATTTGTATCAAAAACTATGACGGACACGATGGGTACTTATGGAGTTAAGTCTTCATTCTGCTGTTATGCAAAAAAAAAACCACTGTTGCCAGATGGGGTTATAATTTAGCGTCTATCTTTTTACCGGGCGGGGACAAGATTTGAATTGGTTGATTATTAAAAAAATGTTTTTCAAAGCCCCCTCCATAACTTTCGCATTGCCAACATGGGGCTACTTTGTGACTTTGCGCATTATGAGCTACTTCATAAAAAGCATTCTGGTAAGACTGGAAGTGACTTGTTTTTTAAGAAAGTAATTACTATTAATTAATCACCCAATATCAACATTTTCTTTGAAAATATTAAAGGTAACTAAAGTTTTTACGTCTTATGCATTGCTTTCCCAAATGGATGCTAATTTTCTCATATTGATTAAGATATTAATATTCATATACGTGTATGTATGTAAATACAACTTGCATATAAAATAAGATTAAATTACTC